TTTGGGATCCATGATTTCAGACATTCCGGAAAAGAAAGCTATGGCCATTGCTGAGGGTTTGGGCAAAGTTCCTCAAACGGTGAGAGAACTCTGTATGACTCGTTCATATCTGTCTTCATAGGAATTACAACCCCAGACTTTCTGCATCCAAATTAATTGCCTTAGTTGGAACTTTGCATTTGATGTCCCGTGCCACTTCCCAACTACTAATCCAAAGTTCTTCCCTTTATTATTTTTTTTTCACTTTAACTCTCAGCTACTCATCAGCCAAGGTCCACTTCACTCTGAAGTCTCATTTTCTCTGAGAGATCCTAAAATATTAGGGAGAATATAGTTAAAAATAAATATGATATTGTTTCTTCCTGTATTTAATAAGAATGTCTCCAAAAAGCTGTTTGATAGGACACTGAATGTGCTGTGCATGTTGCTGCTTATATATCTCTGCATTGAGTTGATTTATTAATTAAACTTTCCCTGACAGTGCAGAAAAGTGAAAAAATTCTAAATGCACAGCTTGGTGCCTTTTTGTATTGACATAGCAAGCACACCCTGATCGCTATGCCTCTGGGACAAGATGCAGGATACCGCCAGCCCCAAAGCCCTTCTTAATGCTAAACCACCTGCTCCTGTAGAGTTACGTCCATTCTGTTCATTGGGAGGACTCATTCCAGAAGCTTAGATTTTAAAACATCATACCATGTTTTTTGTTAAATTGTGTTCTTTTTGTCCCTGCAAGGTCCTGTGGCGCTACACTGGAACTCCACCATCAAATCTTGCAAAGAATACGATCCTTGTGAAGTGGTTACCCCAGAATGATCTGCTTGGTATGTTGGGAGAATTTGATGTGTAGGTCAAACCAGGTTAAATAAAGAAATGGCTTAGGCAGAGCTAATCTAAAGGATACTTTAGCTTGACAATGCCATGGCCAGCAGGACTCACCTTACCTTTTATCTGAGGGCTATGGCTCTCTCTGCACGCTTCTGCCCAAGGGCCTTGTGGAGATAATGCTGAGCATTCCCGTGTTTGGCTAGAAGATTGGGCCACTTGACTGCCGCATCTCTCCCTGTTGTGCTTCTCAGGTCACCCAAAGACCCGGGCGTTTATCACACATTCTGGCTCCCATGGTATCTATGAAGGAATATGCAATGGTGTCCCCATGGTCATGATGCCCTTGTTTGGAGATCAGATGGACAATGCAAAGCGCATGGAGACACGGGGAGCTGGTGTGACCTTGAATGTCCTTGAAATGACTTCTGATGATTTAGCAAATGCTCTAAAAAAGGTCATCTATGACAAAAGGTAAGAGAAAAACTAAAGAAGAATACTACCTGTATTTTCCCCATCCCCTTCCTCCCTTCCTTCTCCTCTCCCTCCACTGCTCCTCCTTCATAAAGAACATTTAAGTGTGTGTGTTTTCTTAGTATTATAGAAACACATTACCCTACCAAGTCAGAAAAGTTGATCACCACCCTAGCTGGAAGGAGGCATAAGGGGTGGATTGTGCATTGTGTGGGGTCCCAGGCATTCACATAACTGTCTTGGTGCTTAGCTACAAGGAGAACATCCTGCGCCTCTCCACCCTGCACAAGGACCGACCCATAGAGCCACTGGACCTGGCTGTGTTCTGGGTGGAATTCGTGATGAGGCACAAGGGGGCGCCACACCTGCGCCCTGCAGCCCACGACCTCACCTGGTACCAGTACCACTCCTTGGACGTGATCGGCTTCCTCCTGGCCATTACGCTGTCTGTGTCCTTCATCACCCTCAAGTGTTGCGCCTATGGCTTCCGGAAATGCTTTGGGAAAAAGGAGCATGTGAAGAAAACCCCAAAATCCAAGACACATTGAGAAGTGGGTTGGGAGAAAGGAGAAAATCTAATCCATTCTCTAATCAAATGCACACTTGAAAACAGAGTCAATGTGAAATTCTCTTTACTCTCATTAAAGAAATCCCTTAGGAAATCTTAGACAACCTTGAAATATTTTTTAATAAAAATAATTGAATCACTGGTTACCTCTATAGTCAAAGGTATTTGAATATGTATTCTACCTCCCCAGGATCTTGAGTCTGTGCTGTCCTTGTTGTTTGTCAAATGACTTACAGAGGGCAATATTTTTCTTACTCAGAAAAGTTACCTGTTTGGGAGTACAGGATTCAGAGGTGGGCCCAGGGTGGTTTAAGGTCACGATTTCTGTAGCCTCCTGTTGTTAGTGCCTCAGCAGTGATGGTTGGTCCCTCTTACTGTCATGCTTCATAGGTGTC